CATTTAATTTGAATTAATAGTTTGCTATTTCATATAATTTTCCCATTATTTAACAACACATTTCAACAATCATTTGTTCCCGTTTCTACATGAATGGCGATAATATTTAAGGTAGGAAAAAAAACAACTGATTGTTGATGTATATTTTGATAAATAGTTGGTGACAGTTCAAGTAGAATTCACACGCACCTGATAATTTAGATATAAATTTTGAAATATTGTAATATTATAACTATAATTTTTTATCGTTAACTCTTTATGTATTAATCACTACATTTAAATGTCAATTGTTTTAAATTTTGAATGTTAATATTTGGTGGTAATAGAATAAATTAAAGGGAGAAACAGGTGATGAAGAAATTAATTATGCAAAGAGATTATTACCAAGAAACCTTTTAATTAAGAGTAATAACTTTACGAAATTCAAACTGATATATTGACTCAATTCCACCGTAGTCAAACTAAAAGGGAAAATGTAACTTTCAAGTAGAAAATTAAAAAGATAGAGTGTCAAAAATACATTTAAATTATTAATTTTTTTGGTTTTATACCTAAATTATTGATAGTGTGAGTTTCATACCTAAACTTGTCACCTAACTCTATGTTTTCTATATCAAAATAAGCCAAACGTGGAAACAAGCGAAGAGTTTCTTGTCCACATTTTTTAATGACCCATTTTTATCCTATTTTAACAAGTACAAACATCAAAAGTAAAAAAAAAAACACCTATGACTCCGTGGTGAAGGAAATACTTTATTCTATCTGATTCTGATTCTGATTCTGATTTTGATTCTTGTGCGAGCGATATCGTAACTTACAAGATATATTGCATATTGAAAAATAATCTGCAGTATACAGTCATAGGTGTCATAGGTGGCAATAATCTGCAGTATACAGTCAAATTTTATAGTTAAAAGAAATTCCAGTAACTTACAAGAAATAATTGCATATTGAAAAAGATAACACTATGTTGCATGTTGAAATGTGAATCAAATCACTTGTCTAAATAGCATGTTGAATGAATCAAAAATAGCCTTTTTATTTTTAGGAGGTAGTGATAAAAGACTACGGTCTAAGTAGTGTGCAGACTTAAATCATTACTTTATTAGGCACAATTGCAAAAACGATTAGATTACAATATGAGTACACGATTCCTTTGCGTGAATTTAGGACACGTAATGATAAGTTAGTTAATTCATCTGGCAGCTAAAAAAAAATCAAAAGAGGAATATAAAGATCATAGGTTCGAATTGTGAAATCATGCTTGCATCAGGATATGTGGTCTATATTAGTTATGGTAGTGGAAAGGATATTGTTTGTCCGAACTTCCTTTGACAATATAAGGTCATAATAATATTTACTTGCATATAGTAGATGAATTTTCTTGATGAAAATCTAGTCTGCCCGCCACTTCCTTCAGGGGCGTAGGCACATGTATGTCAGGTGTCCAATTGGACACCCTTTGTCGGAAAAAAATACCACATATACAAGTAAAATGATGCACAAAGTGATTAAATAATATATTTTGGACACTCTTGACATAATAGGTTCTATAGCCTAGTGGTTTAAGATGTCTTGAATGCGTGTTTAGACATCTTTAATGAGTCAGTGCTTGCGTGTTTAAATCTCACTTGCAACAATTTTTTCCCTCTTCGTGAAATTTCTGGCTCCGCCATTGTTTTCGTTATACTTTGCGTGAATGTGCACGGGCTAGCCTTATTCCCTTTCTATTATTTGTACTCTTTACCATAACAACAAAAATTGAAATAAACTTAACAATAATTCTGAGTTTATGTTCATCACACATGATTATATTGTTCTATCATCAATAATATAAACAACCACTTACTCTATAGTCTATATATATACACACAAAGAGGAACCTTAAGCAATTACACCAAACGAACGTGGATCTTTTGTCATTTTATAATATCAAGTCATTTTCACCATTAAATTAAAAACACTGGTTTTACAAGTAAGCTTATGCTCGAACGTAACTCCAACCCATATATATGCTCCTTAATAACCCTTAATAACAAACATAATTTTTTCAAAAGAACACACAACATTTCAAAAGCCCTCTATTCTTCTCATTTAGTAGTATTTTGTAAACAATTAAATCCATTTGATTTTGCATGAACTCTTCCTCCATCTCTATCCATTTAGCAGATTATTGAAATTTCTTTCAACTTATAATATTTGAGCAGAATATTGGTTGTACAACTTTATGACGATGTCGCTCACACAAGAATCAGAATCAGAATCAGATAGAAAGTATTTCCTTCACCACGGAGTTCAAGCTATGATAGCAGTAATAGTTATGGGTGTTGTTTTACTTTTTATATTTCTACTTGTTAAAATAGGACAGAAATGGGCAATTAAAAGGCGTGGACAAGCAACTCTTCGCTTGTTTACACGCCTGCCCTATTCTGATATAGAGTTAGGTGACCGTGACACTACCTGTCGGATATGTTTATCCGACTTTAAATCAACAGACAATATTTATATTCTTCCATGCACTCACTTGTATCACAGTGAGTGCATTTCAACTTGGATGCGCCGCCAAATTACGTGTCCAACCTGTCGTCGCAATTATGGCAATATCTATACGTCGTGGATCACTTGTTTAGTTTTGTTTTGTTTTATTATTCTACGTACTATGTAATAAATGTTCTTCGTACTATGTAATTTTTTATTAAACGTACTATGTAATAATTATGCTAATAAGTAATAAAAAGTATGACCGCCAACTTCACTTATCCATTTTATCAACAATTTTAAGGTATCATTTTTGTGAATTGTGGCCCCATTAATTTTGTAATTTGACACATCTATTAGTTTGTAAAAAGTTATTTTAAAAAAATGTGGGCCTCACTAGAATTGATCATTTTTATCTTGAAATGGAAAGATTCTTTCAAGCATAATTCTTATTCACATTTGTATTGAACCATTTTAAATGTTATATGTCTTTTTAAGTTATAATTAATATAAATATTTTATTATAATATATGATATATAATCTTATGTTTTGAGAAATGATTTGAAACATGGGCGGATCTATTCGTTGTGGAGGTGTCACGGCATCCAATGATCTCGATCGAAATTCTGTTTAAATATGTATATATGTACATGATATTATATAAATAATAAACTTGTCAATCCCTACACAAATAAAATAGGGCGTCATTTTGTGTTCCTTGAAGGTGCGAGTTCGATTCCCGCATGGGTGCATTTTGTGTTTGCAACATTTTTTTTATTTTGCAAAAAAAGGCTTCCGCTGCAATTAGAAATTGCCTTATTTATTAAGCCGTGGCCACTGCATCATATTTATATGCTTTATTACTATATTATATAACATAACATGTTGTGAAGCTTTAATTTTTATTTTGTTGACTTTTTTTTTCTTTTCTAATTTAAGCATAAAATATTACTTTTTCATCTCAATTTATGTGACACTTTTTTTTAGACTACCACAAAACAATGCTACTTTTCTATGTTAGAACTTACAAACTACTAGTGAATTAGTTCGCACTTCACGTGATTATAAAAATCTTATTGAATTTTCTTAATATTCCCTTAATTCTCGAATATCAAGACTCTTAAAACTTTTTTTATTCTTGAATTTTTGAACACGTTGTTTCTTAAGCTTTAAGCTTTGCATAATATTTGCATTGATGCATAATATTATGATATAATATCTCCTCTTTTAACCAAAAAAAAGCTATGCATTATTGTTATTTATTTTTCTTTAATTTTAGAATTTTTAATCATCTAGAAATACTTGAATTATATATAATAATAATCTATATAAATGAAGCAGTAATTTATATTCAAAATAAGAATGTAATGTTTTATATTGAGATGCGTACAAATTTAAACTTAATTTTACTTCGTTAATTAAATAAACAAACACATAGATATATGTATCTATAGGATCATTGAACATAATAGATTTTCTATTTCTTGAGAAGATGACTTTTTACATCTTTGGTCATACCAAAGAAATAATTCAAGAAAGTAAAGGATTTTGGGGTATTTTCAATTTTCTTCTCGTATACAAATGCAATTATAAGCCAATATTCAGAGAATATAATAATACCGAAGGAATTATATAACTTTAAAAGATTTCCATCAATAACTATAATTTCATTTGATAGTCATCTATTTTCAATTTGCAAAACAACACAAACATATATCACAAGTAGCAATATAATATTATATAAATATAATAAAATAAAAACAAAGAATTCAATGAGATTAGTCACCAGACAAAAACACAAACATATATCACAAGTAACTATATAATATTATATAAATATTTTTAAAAGAAAAAGAAAATAAAAATAAAAGAATTCAAAGGGATTAACTTGACACCAAAGGGATTTATCATATGATGGATTGAAGTGAATTTTGGGTAAAGATAAAAAGGGTTACATTTAAGAACATTCATTTCTTTACGTTTAGAAAATGTTTCTTCTTCTGATTAGTTGGTTAGAGGCATTTGAAGTTTTCATCATGATTAAAGAAATGCATTTTAGTGAGTGAATTATTTAATTGTTAATTGTCTTTTGGATTTCATTGACCCATAAATACATACAGTTACAATTGAAACGTATATGATTAAATTTGTGGACTTATTTAATTATTTTCTTAGTGAGTAAAATATTTAATTGTTTGTTTTCTTTGTGAGTAAATTATTGTATTTATATGAAAAAAATGCCTAAAAAATGAGAAAAATAAATAGCAATTTTAGAAGAAAAACAGGTCGCACAGTAAGTAGAATATATAGCAATTTTAGAAGAGAAAAGATGATGAGGAGAAATGGATGAAAAATGTTGTAAAGAGGTGAAAAATAGAGAGATGGATTTGGGGATTTAATTTGGTAAATATTTATTTGGTTAGTTGGGTCGGGTTCGAATTTTAAAAAAAATCCAGTAATTTAATTAAAATTGGATTATTTTTGTTGATTTGGAGTTTTTCATTCAATTGAGGGGTACGGGTGACAAGTTTGTAGACGACAAGAGTATAAATAACTTGATTTTAATGGTAATGGCAAGATCAACAAATAAATGAAAAATTGAGAGATATTTTTAACCTTTTTCCTTTGCATTTCTTTGAAGGCAATATAACATTCAAATTAAAGGTATATATAGAACAAATAGGAACAATTTTCTTCAACTTTTTTCATGATTTGGAAGATTTTCTTTCCTATTAAACATGTGTACTTTCACCCGGTCCCCATAAAGAATAAAATACTTATGTTTTGCACCACGTGAAAGTTGTATAAATTCAACCTTGTACGGATTATCGGTATGTGTGATTGCTTTATCTACTTTAATTATTTTTCCTTTCTCGTTGACAATTTATAAGATCAGTACAATAAGCATCATAGGAAGTGTCTTCAATAGGAAAATAGCTTGAGCCCATCGGAGGTTCTGGTACACCTGGTGGACTATATACAACTCCTCCCCAATCAACATTCGTAGCAAAACTTTTTAAGTCGGTGAAGAGACTTTGTGGCCAGAAACCTACTCGCGTAAAGTCTTGTGACACTAAAAGCCACCAATTTCCGGCTAAGTCCTTTTTGCAAAAAAAATAAAAATAATAATAAGTTGTCAATAACAATATTTATGTTATCTCCTAACTATAATTCCTATGTTTGTATAAAATATTCAAAGACTCTAAATAAGAAAAATAAAGACAATATAAAATGTACCCGATCAATGTATACTTTCACACCCCAATGTTTCCCTCCACGTTGTGAAATAGTATCCATGAATGAACTATCAAGAGGTACGTCATAGTTTACTTGTACAAAGCCGGGACATAGTGTATTGAAGCAATGAATTTTACCAGCCTAAAAAAATAGATATATCTCATACATGAATTCTTAAAAATCAAGGCAAATAGTTAAACTAAGGGTGTGTTTTGTAAATGTTTTCTTGGAAAAAATAATTGGATTTCTAAGTTATTTTCTCATGTTGGTTGGTGAGTAGAAAATGTTTTTAATGTTTGGTTGGTAAATGAAACACATTTTTCAGAAAATATCTTTTATTTTTGGCTTGAGACTAAAAAATACTCTTTAGGAAAATTATTTTTGACCTGAAAATTATCCAGAATAATCGATCTAGGACCCGGCCCTAGAACCCGAACTAGGACAGGATCCCGACGACCGTTCCAAATTCCGACCCTGAGATCCAACCCATGCCCTGACCCATAAATATTTTTCAAAAACAATTTTTTTTAAAAATAAGGTGGCGGAGGAAGGGGGGGGGGTTGAATGTAGGGATGACATAAAAAAAAGAAAATTTAAAATTTTGAAATATATTTCACAAATATTTTTTTAAAAAAATTGATCGAGGCCGGGGGGGAGGGTGAGAAGTAGGTTTGGCATAAAAAATGCAATTTTCTGAATTCGAAATATTTCAATAAAAAATATTTTTTAAAAAAGAAATTGACCAGGGGATGGAGGGTGTTGTAGGGGTTGGGTGACGTAAAAAATTAAAATTATAAAATCTGAAATATTTTTCAAAAAACAATATTTTTTTTAAATGACGGGGGTTGGGGTTGGCTGGAGGGGTAGAGGGTGACATAAAAAGGAATTTTTTTAAATTTTAAAAAAAATTGATTGGAGCGGCCTGAGTGGGGGGTTTAGGGATTAGGGGTGGGGAATGACGAAAAAAATGATTTTTTAAAAATTTAAAATATTTTTCAAGTATAATTTTTTTTAAAAGAAAATTTGACGGGGTGCGTGTGTGGGTGGGGAGAGGAGAGGTCGAGTAGTTAGGGCATGAAAAGGGGTAAAAATGATTGTTTGTTTGGTAGAGGGGGCTGGTTTGGGGGTAGGGGATTGGGGATAAGGGTAAAAATTTATTTGAAATTAAAAAAATAAGAATATTTATATTTATTTATTTTTTGGATGTGGATGGTCGGGTACAGAATATGGGGTAGGGTAAGGAAAAAAATATTGTAATTTTAGGATGAAGTAGACTTTTGAAAAATGTTTTTCTTTATTTTTTAAGGAAAGTCATTTTTCTTAAATTTGAGGAAATTAAGTTGATTTGGAAAAAACATTTAAACAAACTAAATATGAAAAAATTAGAAAATATTTTCCTTCACACCAAACACACCCTAAAAGATGTACAGTTTAATGAACTCAAAAGGGAAATCACCATGGTACGAAAGATAGTTACCTGGAAATGTATAAAAAATCTAGTTTTAGCATCCCCGTATAACGTTGGGTCCACCTAAAGCACGAAACAAAGATATTATATTATAGTTATTAAATATTGAGCATTTACTAACATATTTTCTAATATACATCTTAAAAGCACAATATTCAATGGTTAACACACATCCTTCTTTCACAAAACGATAGAATAATGGAATAAATAAATTGATATAAACTTACTCTCCAACCAACTTGTAAGATATCTGATCCTTTTTGAATTTTTAGTCGAGATCCGCTGTGTTGTTGTCCATTAACTTGAGGATTGTACAAAACAGTATCCATTCCAGCTCCCGCAAACTTGCTATTTGGATTATATGGAAGCCCAGCTATTGCAACCTAAATAAAAAAGTTAATTTTTTTTAGTACATCTTACAAAATACCCAAATTAACCTATGAATTACTTGTTCCTTTTTTTACTTCAAATCCAATTAAATAAAACATGGAAATTAGATAATGAATTTTATAGCCATATACCACCTTATATCCTTGTGAAGATATGTATCTTCCATTCGGCTCACTATTGTTGTTACTCTGCATTAGATAATGAATTTATGTTTAGATTTGAAATATTCAAGATATATAACAGTAAATTGGCATAAATCATCTTACAACATCATATTCATCTTCGAATGTGACATCTTCTGGCGGGGGAATACGTCTTAATCTTATAAGATCATCTCTTGTAATTCTCTTAACAGGAATAGTTCCAAAAGGACATCCTCCATCTTTAGACCATATTGTCGATGACCTATTAGTTGCCAATGAGGAAGTTGAATCTTTCTTGATTCTAGATAAAGTAGATTTCATCTGTTCAATCAGATGTTTAATTGTGTGTCAATAACAACATATCCAATATGAACAAAATGATAACGAAATGAAAAGAGAGTAGAGATATGCCTTAGGATGAAAATTATGGTCCTTCAACAACGGGTGATCAAATGCACGTTGTTTGTAGAAATCTACACAATCATATGTATCTCCATATTTAGTCTGTAAACAATCAAAATTAATAAAATAAGTAGCCTAAGTTACAACAAGATGTACCTTTTAAACACAAAACATACTCATGAGAACAATTGTTAGTAAATGGTAATACTACTGTTTTTTTTTTAAAAAAAAAAGAAAAATTCTCAAATATGCTATCAAACTTTGAGAAAAGACTTATCTAGGTCATTCGTTAATATTTTGTTCATTTATGCTACTTTCGTTGAGAAAAGGTTTATCCATGCCATTATTTGTTAACGAAAAATTGTTCGATAGGTGTGTCCTAAGCCATTGTTATGCCTTTATCTCCAATTTGCAAGATAAAATGCAAAAAATTTACATAATCCATTTTTAATTCATTTGTCTTATTGGACTTGACATGAAGTTTCAAAAAGTAATTTTGTTTTGAATCTTGTGATCTTAAAATAATTATATATAGAATATATCAAAGTGCTCTTAAATCTTGTGGTTTAAACATGTTATGTGAAAAAATAGAATCAAATAGTTTGCAAAAACGGAAAAAATATTTTTTTCAAAACAGATTAAAAAAAGAGTAAAACAAACAAATCGAAACGGACTAACCTGCTCAATCTTCAACTACAACGAAAGTTTACACACAAAGAAGGAAAGGGAGGGTTCTCCATTTCCCAAGAATCATGTGACAAATGAATGTTTTTTCTCTAATACAAAAGTGATATTATCTAATAAAATGTCTTTAGGGACTTACAAGTAAAATAAAATAATTTTTTTGCAAAAAAAAATACCTTTACTGTTTTGACGGCCGGCTTGTTCAAACTTTTCAGTTGTTTCTCTAACTCCACATCCTCTAATTTGGATAGCTTTTTTTGTCCTTTCACCCCATTATAACTCAAGAGAAAATATAACATCAATAACGTTTGTTGAACAGTCTTTTGATGCATCGTGAATTCATTTCTTTTTATAGGCATGAATCTTAGGTGTTTTGAAGAAATTAGATTAATTAATACAACATGAAAGCTCAACACTGAATTTGATTTGCTAGGTGTAAGTATTGATACCTTTGCTACAATAAGGAAGACATTTTTTTTAATATATAGAGATGTGGAAAAGACTAAGTTGACTATTATGTACAAGATATTCACTTTATGTGTAGTCTTTGAACTACATTTGACCATATATGAAAATATTTTTGTTTAATAAATGTTGATTGCCCGTTTGTAATTAATATCCAAAATAATACTTTTAACTTCATTTGACCAAATCTAAAAAGACTTTGAATGGTTTTTTATTGTTCATATCTACGTAATAAAATATTGAAAATACTTTTGACCATATGACCAAATATGTTGTTGAGTCCGGACTCAAAATTAGATTTATTTTGACAAAAAAAATGAAAAAGAACTGGACTTATGTGCAAAAAAAATATATATAAATGCCAATGTAATATTTCGACTTTAACATTGAACAAAGCTCTTATTTGAGGATAGTTTTAAACAATAATTAAAAATTGAGGGGTGTTTTTGAACCTTTATTTTCGATGAATTTAAATAAAATTGAGAATTCCTCAACAATTACAAATGTGCAAATATTGACAAGTAGTACTTGTAACGATTGGATTAAAAATTTAGGAAAAATCATTTAATTTGTCAAAAACATCATGTATTAGGCAATTCATGCATTGTACTTAGTTTCTCACATCTCTATGTAGTTATCGGTATATCAAATTAAAAATTAAATAAAATGTTTTTAGGGATTTACAAGTACAATGAAACCAAAAGTAAAAAAAAATCCTTTACAGTTTTGATTGTTCATGTCACGACCTAGACCACTGTGATTGACACCCACACTTACCCTTCGGTGGGAGAACCATTACTACAACCAGAGGCATATGCAGGAGGGCGTCATCGGGTTCACATGAACCCATGCTCCCCTCCTGAAATCATATATAGTAGTGTTATATTTTTAAATTTTTGTTAAATATAGATGTGTGAACCCACAATCGAAGTATCATTTAATGTAATGATGATTGGGTGCACCTCTCAGTGAGACCAGAAATTTGAATTTTATATCTATCTTGTACTATTTTTCTTTTTAAAATTAGGTAGCATCTCTCTAAGTGGATATTGGTAGAATTTTTGGCGTTATAATTAATTAATCATTTCAATTTTGGACCTATAAATTTAAAATTTTAACTATTTTCAAGATACGAAATTAAGTGTCAAACGAATTAGATTCACCTTTTCACAATAGTGCACTGTGCACCCACCATTCCAAAATCTTGGATACGTCGCTAACTACAACCCGACTAATCAACTTATATATGCATGACTAATTAACAGACATGAAAGATCAATACTGAATTTGATTTGCTTATATATGATACTATGAGGAAGATGTATATTATATAAAAATGTATAAAAGACTAAATTGACTATACGAAAACTAAAAATATTTTTTTTATTTAATAAATGGTTATTGCTCATTTATAACTAATATCCAAAATAATAATCTGAATATAGATTTTAGTAGAATATTTAATTGAATCAACAAATATTTATTGTTGATGAAGATTGATGATTTATATTTGCATAAGATTCAAAATAATTTTTGACCATATGACTAAATCGATTGGTGCTCGAGTTTGAAGATTTAAAAAAAAAAATTTAATCAGAGCTTTTTCTGGTTCGAGAGGAATTGAAAAAAGTTGTTGGTAGTGTTGAGATTTGTGAGACACTGCAACACACGAATTCGAATTGAGAAAGTTACATGCACTTTAATATCTTGTGACTTGTATGATCTAGCAAATAATAGAGAGGGAACAAGGGTGGCCCCGTGCATATTCACGCAGAGTCTGGGGAAGGGCCGTACTTCAAGGGATGTAAATGTAATGTGCAGTGACGGAGATAAGATTTTCATTAAGAAAATTCATCATTTACCATATGCTTGTAAAATTCGTTATGACTTTATATTGACAAAGGAGGTTCGAATAAACCCCATCCCACCCTTCGGGGTGGCCCAGTAGTTTGGACTTGGGACTTCCATTTTGGAGGTTTCACGTTTGAAACCTCTTGCTAGAGAAATCAAGGGATTTGCCTACTGGGTGGAGCTCGTTGCATTGGGCTTGTCTAGTGTGGGTTACCTCTCCTATGTGGTTTGCAAGCTATTGCATAGAAGTGGGGGTTTTACCTATGCACGCCCAAATGATAGCGACTACGGGTTTCCCTTGTCATAAAAAAAAATTAAAAAAATAAACCCTTTTTCCGCGACCATTAGCAATGTAGACTGCATATTCTAATGCAAAGCTTGATTTCACGACTCGAACCAATTACCTTTGTTTACCTCTTATTTTTCAAATTTCGAATTTCATATCTGAAGTATCACTAATTATTTAACAATACATTTTAATAATCAATTGTTCCCGTTTTCTACCTGAATGGCGATAGTATTTACGGTAGGAAAAAAAACAATTGATTGTAATTAGAATAGAGAAAAAGGTCAGCTGTTAGTCTCTCCCATGACCAAGGCTACCGATATATGATTTATATATAGTCTGATAGTGTAGACAATAGAGTTGTAATACAAAACAAAACCTATCCTAATTATAGAAAATAAAGGACTTGCAATTTACATAAAAGACTTGTGAATATCTACGGAAGAATCCTAATAGGATTCGTTATCATCTAACACCCCCCGGCAAGCACATGTCGGGTTTGGAGACAGTGAGCTTGGACCGTAGATGAGCAAATCGAGAGGAGCTTAGAGCTTTAGTAAATACATCAGCAATTTGATCAGTGGAAGGAATGTATTGAACACAAAGTTGTCCGCATGCAACTTTCTCTCGAACAAAATGATAGTCAATTTCAATATGCTTCGACCTTTGATGAAAGACATGATTGGCAGTGAGATAAATGGCACTGATGTTGTCACAGAATATCATGGGAGGACGAGGACAGGGCAATCAAAGTTCCTTAACCAAACTAGTTATCCAAGATACTTCTGATGCGGCAAATGCAATAGCACGATATTCAGCTTCAGTGCTAAACCGAGCTACTACATTTTGCTTTCGCGAGGACCAACTGATTAGATTAGGACCATAATATACAGCAAATCCATAATGAGAACGACGATCATCAGGATCAGCAGCCCACCCTGTATCACAGTAAACATTTATAATAGAGGAAGTGGATGGCGTGATGGTTATTCCATGTGTAAGGGAACCTTTGAGATAACGAAGAATCCGTTTCACAGCTTTCCAATGATCCAAGGTAGGATTATGCATATATTGGCAAACACGACTCACCGAAAAAGAGATCTCTGGTCGTGTGATAGTCGCATATTGAAGAGCCCCAACAATACTCCTATATAATGATGGATCATCAAAGGTTTCACCATGTTTAGACAATTGGAATGTGCTATTTGCTGGAGAAGGAGAAGGCTTACAATCTGTCATTTTTGTTCGAGAGAGTAAGTCTCGAATGTAGCTAGCTTGAGAGAGATGCATACCAGATCCCACGCGAGCAACTTCAATACCCAAGAAAAATGAGAGATCACCAAGGTCTTTTAGAGAGAACTGAAGATCAAGGGATTTGGTAAAATGAGGAGATATATGAGGGATCACTACCCGTTATGATGATGTCATCCACATAAAACCAAGAGGTAGGTAGTAGAGGAGGGAGTATGACGGACAAACAAAACAGATATAGCCATGCGATAGGAGAAATGTTTTGAGCTTGAGAAACCAGGCGCGAGGAGCTTGCTTTAGACCATATAAGCCTTTGATAAGCGACACACAAAATGTGGGTGAGACTTATCAGTAAAGCCTGGTGGTTGAGACATGTAAACAACCTCCGAAAGGTCACCATTAAGGAATGCATTATTAACATCTAACTGCTTAAGACACCAACCTTGAGACACTGCATGAGATAAGACAAGTCTGATTATTAAAGGTTTGAGAACTGGGCTGAAGGTATCATGGAAATCAACCCCTTCTGCCTGATGAAAATCTTTGGCAACCAAATGAGCTTTGTACCTTTCAATCGACCCGTCTGCGCGACGCTTAATGCGGTACACCCATTTACAACCCACCACATTTGCATTAGGAGGACAAAGAGAAAGTGTCCATGTGTGATTACGAATCAATGCTTGATACTCAACTTTCATAGCGCACAACTAATCAGGAGATGATGCAGCTTGCTTATAGGTTTTTGGTTCACTGGCCAAAGAGGATGAAACCAGGATCGGATGGCGAGATATAGCGAGTGCTTTGGGCTTGAGGGAATTTGTTTAAGCTCTTGTGGTCATAGGATGATTGGAAGAGGTAGCAGGCCGAAAATATGTAGGAGCATTCTGATAAGATCTTGAAGTGGAGGATACGACGGTGGCTGGACATGGATTTTGTGGTGAAGAGGTTGTATCAGAAGATATAGATGAAAGCGATATTGGTAAGGGTTGAGTGGACAGTGAGGATAACGATGGAGGATCTACCAGTGAAGGTGAGGCAACAACGGAAGGAATAAAGTTGGAAATCGATTGTAGAAAAGTTAAGGAGGATGGTGGTGAATTGTCATTAGAGAAAGGAGTAGTAGTTTTGTAATGAGGATAAGGAAATTTCTCTTCGTCGAATATCATATGACGAGCAATATACATTCAATTTGTGGGGGGATAGTGACACATATAACCTTTATGTTTCGAACTATAACCCAAAAAGACACAAGGAAGAGATCAAAAATCAATTTTATGATTATTATAAGGACGGAGAAAAGGATAACATAGACACCCAAATTTTCGAAGAAGTTGGTAGTCTGGTGGATGATGATAAAGAGCTTGATAGGGTGATTTGAAGGACAATATAGGAGTGATGGTGCGGTTATGTAGGTATGTGGATGTGGAAAATGCATGTTCCAAATATTGATATGGAAGACATGCGTGAGCAAGTAAAGTT